GGGGGAGGGAGAGTGGGGAGGGAGAGAACATTGATGTGAGAGAGACATATCAACTGGCTGCCTCTCGCATGAGCCCTGACAGGGGCCAGGGATTAAGCCCAAAACTGAGTTACATGCCCTTGGCCGGAATCGAACATGGAACCCTTCTGTCCACTGGCCAACGCTCTAACCACTGAGCCAAACTGGCTAGGGCTGAAACATAAATTTTTACTTTAAAAAGTAACTTAAAGAGATGGGCAGGTGTATATCTCATGCTAGACCAGAATATTGCTTTCTGCAGTGATGGAGTAAGAGTAACCTGTTCAAATGGTCATAATCAAAATTTATGAGGGGGCTATTAGTCATTTCTGCCCACATTAATTTAACTCCTTGACATATTACTATTTTAAATATAGGCCTGCATTCCTGAGGCCAAAGATACAAATCTTTTTTCTTACCTTTTCACACCCTGATGCTGTAACTTCAAAGCCTGTACCTGTACAGATTTTATAACCATTTAAATGTGTGGATCTTCTTTGAAATATTCTTTCAGTGGTTCTTTTGACCAGAGTTTGGGCCAAGCTTTCATACTTTGCTCTTTCACTTACGTTATTATAGGGATCAAGAGAAAAAACTATTCTAATGATTACAAAAAGGAAGAAGTCTTTCAGAAATAATCACATTCATTTTGGTTTTTTAGTATAAACAAAACCTTCCTTTAACTTTTACTTATTCAACTGCATTATATTTTGCATAAAGAACTGGCAGTCTTCAAACACAGAAGAAACATTTTTCTCACATTTCAGAAGGGATTAGAGAGCAAATGCCAGCTAGCTAGCTTTCAGTTCACTGAACAATAGAGCAATATTATTTACTTATCTGTACAGTTCAAAGGAAAATCTGAAAATTATCTATTTTCTATAAAAAGTATCTCAAGGTGACCTTTCGGACTTGAGCAATGTGTCCTGGCTGTCATTTTAATCAGTTATCTGACACGTGCCAAGTTCTCACTTCATTTTGTGAGATGTGGATTACAGTTCTTTTAAAAAATATATATCTTTACTGATTTCAGAGAGAGGAAGGGAGAGGGGGAGAGAGAGTTGAAACATCGATGATGAGAGAGCAGTCATTGATGGCTGCCACCCGCACGCCACCAACTGGGGATCGAGCCTGCAGCCCGGGCATGTGCCCTGACCGGGAATCAAACTGCGATCTCCTAGATCCTAGGTCGATGCTCAATGGCTGAGCCATGCCCCGCCAGGCTGGATTACAGTTCTGATGTTTAATGCCGAAACCAACAAAAACTGAAACTTTACCAGTGATTCAAGTAACCACAAACAGCACCTTTCAAGACAATGCCCCTAATTCACTATCAACTTTCTTCTTTCAGATAGCCAAAAGTGAAAAACGGAGACAGCAGAGGCTTTTCAGAAAAACAAAGTCCTATATTTCTTGAATTGATTTACATGTTAATTCAAGAAAGCCTGGGTTTGGAAAGCATTTACCAGGTAGGGCCAGGTGTAGGACATTCTTAAATCTATATGCTGAACTTTGAATTCTAGGGTATAATTAATGATCTTGAAAGAGTGTTAGACAACTACCGGAAGGATGGGAGGAGAAAGAGGTCCAATAACTGAGCAAAGACACAAACCATGGAAGAAACAGGACAGTCTACTGCATCCATTTCCTTAAAATGTATTCACTCCTCCTTTCTCAAGCTAAATGAAACCAGAAGGTCCAAAGGCATCACTTACTCCTTTAAATGTTTATGAGAAAGTCATTTTTCAAGGGACCACTGAATTTTAACAACTACTGCCCAGCAGTGGAAGGGCAGAAGGTGGGGTGGCACCAGAGTGAAGGAGAAACAGGTGTTTTCTCTACTGAATGTAATGTGTTTCACAATTTTCATAGATGGGTTTTCCTTAAGTTCCTTTGTGGGACTGAAGAATACATTGGTAAAACTATATGTGAAGGAGTAGATTCAGGAATCTTTAGTAACAAGCTCCCTGGGATATAAGCTCATCTGAAATCCCCCCCCCCCC